CCAAATTGTTTTATCAAGATGTATTTTGCTACATCTTGATAAATTATTCCAAATTTCAAATCCACAGGTCATTGTAGATTGTTTTGCCACATTCAACATTCACTTAAAAATAGAAGATTCTGCCAGGCAGGGTGGCTCATGCCTGTAATCCCAGCACTTTGGGAGGCTGAGGCGGGTGGATCACCTGAGGTCGGGAGTTTGAGACTAGCCTGGCCAACATGGCGAAACCGCATCTCTAGCAAAAATACAAAACTTGCTGGGCGTGGTGTAATCCCAGCTACCTGGGAGGCTGAGGTAGGAGAATCACTCGAACCTGGGGGGAGGAGGTCACAGTGAACCAAGAATGGGCCACTTCACTTCAGCCTGAGAGAGCAAAACTGTCTCAAAAAAGGCCGGGCGCGGTGGCTCAAGCCTGTAATCTCAGCACTTTGGGAGGCCGAGACAGGCGGATCACAAGGTCAGGAGATCAAGACCATCCTGGCTAATCTGGTGAAACCCCGTCTCTACTAAAAAATACAAAAAACTAGCTGGGCGAAGTGGCGGGCGCCTGTAGTCCCAGCTAGGGAGGCAGGAGAATGGCGTAAACCCGGGAGGTGGAGCTTGCAGTGAGCTGAGATCTGGCCACTGCACTGCAGCCTGGGCGGCAGAGCGAGACTCCATCTCAAAAATAAATAAATAAATAAATAAATAAATAAAATAAAAACATAAAGAAAAAAAAATTCTGCATAGAAATATGTTGAGATATAAATATATCATACAAAATTAAATTTAAAATTGTTCATTTACCATTAACTCTAGAATCTAATTTCTAAAATATATTTTTTTACCAACTTTATATTTGCTATGCTTTTTGTAAGAATACAACTTTTTTTAACACAGAAAAAAACAAAGCTAAGTGATGTAATCTTTTCACTTGTTAACAATGTATATCTATTCTGAAAGTTATATTGATAAGCAAATTCTTCAGTTAAAACCAATTTTTCAGTGCATTAAAGAATACCAACTTTCTCCTTAGAACCTACAAACTCCCATGTAAAATGACAACGCACGAAGACAACAATGAGAAAACTGTAGACATAACACAGTAAAAGAGGAAAGACTGTGATGCATATATACTTGGAATACACATAAGACAAAACTGAAAATCAAAAGAAGCAGAATTTTTGTATAAATTCAGTAAGTCAGCTTTGCAGCAGTCCTCTCCACATGATGAATCAACGTTATTTCTTCACCATTGGTATATTCCATTTCCAACTTGAAGTTACAAACTCCAGCAAAAGTATTTATGACTTATTATAAAGCATGTTTTACTCAGAAGTCATATTTGTTTGCTACATATGTAAAAACATCCTCATGACTTGTGAAGTCTCCCTAGTACTTACCAAAGCAAATTAGCTCACTCAATAGATTTACTTATGTCAATATGAAAAGTGAAACAATAAAGAAAATTAGGCTTATATAGGTTCCTCCAATAAAACAAAATCAAAAACTAAAATAATAATACAGTAATTTTGTAATTACATCTAAAAATTATTTTGTGTGCACTCTTTAAATTTCATAAAAATCGTTCTTATAATCCCCAACCAGCTCACATAATGAGTACTTCATAAACTGCAAAACAAGAAAATCATGGGCCTAGCATGAGTACCAGACAAGTAAAAACTGAGAATGTGCATAGGCAGATTCTGAACCATAAGCCCTAACATTTTACAGCAATGAATTCAATACAATGCAGAGTATAGATTTGCTTTCAACATTTTCAAGGTTTTTAGTTTTCTAATAAGTCACTGTATTAATTTGTTTTGTTCCAATATTGCTATCTTCTTCTGAAAATGGATACAAACTCGTACTCACACATACTTCATAATTTTCTTACACCTAAGGTTTATCTTTAGAGTCATATAGGTATATATTTAACTCTATGTAAATAAAACCTAAAAGCCTGTATGTGTTTGCAGGCAGAGAGAAAACATGTTCAAAGAAAAATATGTAACAAATTCCTTAAGTATTTATTCAGGACTTAGAGATGTATCAATTTTATTTATACTTCTATACAAATTTTATTATGACCATAAAAATGACCCTGTAGCGAAGAACAATTGTAAATTTTAAAATAATCAAAGTGCTTTTAATATTTTAAAACACAGTATTTCTGTTATTTTACTAATCAAATTGTAATAAAAAGGATAAATGCTAGAGGTGATGGATGTCTCATTTATCCTGATGTAATTATTATATATTATACACCTGTACCAAAAAATGCCATATATGGCATAAATATATACACACACTGTGTAACCACAATATTAAAAAGAATAAGACAGGATAAAAATGGGGCCAGGCATGGTGGCTCACGCCTGTAATCCCAGCACTTTGGGAGGCCGAGGCGGGTGGACCACGAGGTCAGATGGAGACCATCCTGGTTAACACAGCGAAACCCTATCTCCACTAAAAATACAAAAAATTAGCTGGGTGTGGTGGCAGGTGCCTGTAGTCCCAGCTACTCAGGAGGCTAAGGCAGGAGCAAGGCGTGAACCCGGGAGGTGGAGCTTGCAGTGAGCTGAGATTGTGCCACTGCACTCCAGCCTGGGAGACAGAGCGAGACTCCCTCTCAAATAAAAAAAAGTATAAAAATGTAACCTATGTGAAAAATACGTTTTAACTTATTTGCAATCTGAAGCCACTGACAGAACCGATTACTAGACATGTTATTCCACTATGTTGCCAAATAGCTTATCATTATATTTTACCTACACCCTCAAGTAAGGTGGGTATGTTACAGTTAGTGGAATAATAATGCTCCATTGAATGCACAAAACTTTTTTTTTTTTTTTGAAACAGGATCTTGCTCTTGTTGTCCAGGCTAGAGTGCAATGGTGTGATCTTGGCTCTCTGCAACCTCTGCCTCCTGGCTTCAATTGATTCTTCTGCCTCAATCTCTGAAGTAACTGGGATTACAGGCACCTACCACCATGCCCGGCTAATATCTTGTATTTTTAGTAGAGACAGGGTTTCACCATGTTGGCCAGGCTGGTCTCGAGCTCCTGATCTCAAGTGTTCTGCCTGTCTCAGCCTCCCAAAGTGTTCGAATTACAGACATGAGTGAGCCACTGCGCCCAGCCAGAATGTACAATAGTATTAATATAGTAAAAGAAAATATCTAATTAAAACTTAAGTCCACACATAATCTAAGAGTTTTTAAATGTACTGCATTTTATTAAATAAAAGTACAATCAGTAACATTATATGGTACTACTTTAACTTACATTTAACTAAAAAATGTTTTTCTCTTATAACATGAAAGAGTATTACTCTGAACAACTACCTCATAAATCACTAAGTTAACTACAAAGAGCCTCTTCACTTAGATACTTATCATGCATCTTACATTTCATTGTCCTTACTCTTTAAGAGGTGGTGTGTAATTCCCACCTAATAAAGTATCCCTCATATCTCTTATGCAGCAATAGTTGATCATATGCTTTCACAGGTGAATGCAATAGAAATGAAGAAATAGCATGAAGTAATTTCAGAGTTAACTTACATCATTATTTACTTTTAGAAAGTTTTGTAACTTACCAAAAAAGTATACTTGAATGTAATTATGACTTTTCAAAGAAATGTCTACTCATTTTAAAGTTATATAAAATTAATTTACTTACCAACTGTAGTTTTGGATTTTCTACACACAGCAGTCTGATTTAGTGTAATGTCTGAAGTGTCAGTGCCTTAGCTATTTCTACTGTTAATTCTCTGATAATTATATAAACTCAATTTGAATTAAATATTTCTTCGTATTTATTTCATCTGCAAAAGACTATTTTAGTATGAGCTCTCTGGCATTTTCTATGCTATAGTTATTGAAAAAATGTTTTCCCAAACTGATTACATTTGCTGAATTCTTCTCCGATATAAATTCCCTAACGTTGAACAAAGTTTCAGCAACTGCTTCACGGTTCTTCTCTAGTAGAAAATGTGTACAATAGGCGGGCATGGTGGCTCACGCCTGTAATCCCAGCACTTTGGGAGGCCGAGGCAGGTGGATCACGAGGTCAGGAGATTGAGACCATCCTGGCTAACACAGTGAAACCCCATTTCTACTAAAAATACAAAAAATTAGCTGGGGGTGGTGGCGGGCGGTTGGGCGCGGCACCACTAGTCCCAGCCACTCGCGAGGCTGAGGCAGGAGAATCTTGTGAACCTGGGAGGCGGAGATTGCAGCGTGCAGTGAGCTGAGATCACGCCACCGCACTCCAGCCTGGGTGACAGAGCGAGACTCTGTCTTAAAAATAAAAAAATAAAAATGTGTACAATAAAATATGTGATACAAGTACTACAACCCTCTTTATATTTGTAATGTTTGTCTTCAGAATAAACTCTTCACTTTAAAGGCTTATATTTCTGAAAGATCGTTTGATAGTAATTGTATTTATAATATTAAGTATGAACTCTCTGTTATACAATATGTGAGCAGATATTAATGACTTTCCCACATTCTTTATATTTGTACACCATTTCTCAACTATAAATGCTTTCCTGTGCAATAAGTTGTGAACACTGGTTAAAAGTTATATTCTTCATACTTGGAGTTTTCTCCAGTATAAATTATTTTACCTGCAATCAAGTGTGAAAACCATTTAAAAGCTTTTTCACATTCTTTGTATTTCTAGAGTTTTGCAAGAGTATAATCTTTTTTTTTCTTTTTTTAATGTTTAGAAAAGTTTGAGGTGTTATTAAAAGCACTGTGACATTCAGGATTGTAGAGTTTTGCTCCAGTATGAAACATCTTATATCTGTTAATAATTGAGGACTTGTTAAGGGCTTTGTGACATTCTTCACACTTTAGGATTTCTTTCTAGTATAAATTATGTGTTGAGAACTTATAAAGGCTTTTTCACATTCTTCTTATTTCTAGGCTTTATCTTCCATATGAGTTCTCATGAATTCTTTTGTACTTAGTAAATGTTGAGGATTTGTTAAATCCAGGCCACATTCTTCACATTTGTACGGTTTCTCTACTATGAATTCCCTTATGTTTAATAAGGATCGAGGAATGGTTACAAGCTTTGCCACATTCTTCACTTCGTTGGGGTTCTTGAGCATGAATTCTCTTATGTACGGTAAGGTTTGATAAACGATTAAAAGGTTTACCACATTCTTCACATTTGTAGGGTTTCTCTCCAGTATGAATTATCTTATGTTGAGTAAGGTGTGAAGACCGGTTAAAGGTTTTGCCACACTCATCACACTTGTAGGGTTTCTCTCTAATATGAATTATCTTATGTGGAATAAGGTATGAAGACTGGTTAAAAGTTTTGCCACACTGTTCACATGTGTAGGGTTTCTCTCTATTATGAATCATCTTATGTTGAGTAAGGTGTGAAGACCGGTTAAAAGCTTTTCCACACTCTTCATGTTTGTAGGGTTTCTCTCCAGTATGACTCATCTTATGTCCAGTAAGGGCTGAGGACCGGTTAAAGGCTTGGCCACACTCTTCACATTTGTAGGGTTTCTCTCTAGTATGAATTATCTTATGTTGAGTAAGGGTAGTAAGAGCTGAAGACCAGTTAAAGGCTTTGCAACATTCATCACATTTGTAGGGCTTCTCTCTAGTATGAATTCTCTTATGTTCAGTAAGGTGTGAAGACCAGTTAAAGGCTTTGCCACATTCTTCACATTTGTAGGGTTTTTCTCTAGTATGAATTATCTTATGTCGAGTAAGGTGTGAAAACCTGTTAAAGGCTTTGCCACACTCTTCACATTTGTGGGGTTTCTCTCCAGTATGAATCCTCTTATGTCGAGAAAGGGCTGAGGACCGGTTAAAAGCATTGCCACACTCTTCACATTTGTAGGGCTTCTCTCCAGTATGAATTATCTTATGTTTAGTAAGGGCTGAGGACTTGTTAAAGGCTTTGCCACATTCTTCACATTTGTGGGAATTCTCTCTAGTATGAATTCTCTTATGTTGAGTTAGTTGTGAAAGCATGCAAAATGATTTACCACATTCTCTACATTTGCAAATTTTCTTTTCAGTATGTCTTATCTTATGTCTATCTACATTTGAAAATTTATAAAAGACTTTCTCATATTCATCACATTGATATATTTTCCTCTGGGTTGTTGTCAGACATTGGTTAAGTCTATTACAATCTCCTTTGCACACCTTACACTCATCCACACTTTTACAGCCTAATCTTAATTGTAAATTATCACGTCCACATTTATCATATCTCCTCAGTATGACTTTTTGGAAAAAATCTTTAATGTCTCGCTCTGGCCAAAGGTCTTCAGCAATATGAGAACACATAACTAAAAGAAATTAAAACAACAAATTACTCCACTTACTGGACTCAGGTAAATATTTTTTACAAATCTAACCTATAAAACTATATAAACTATATAACCAAGATGGCATAGCAAAATAACACAGCCTCTAATTTATTCAAAAACATATAAAATGTAACAAAAACATACTGACCAAAACACATTTTTGGAAAATTTATAAATAAATGTGTGAAGTGCCCCAGGTGAAAACAATGAAAAAAGCAACATGAAGAAAAAGAAAAGTCTGTTACATTAACCCAACACAGAACTTCCTTCTCCCCAGTATAACATAGTGTTCTTAGAAGTAAATTGCCAACTCCTTGTTTCTATTTAAAAGACAAGAAAAATACTGGCACATACATTTTTATGTCTGGCTTTTAGGGGTCTTTCAAGACCCTGGTTTCAGTCTCTCATTAAATAAAATGCTGAAAAAAATAGTATACTTTGGAATGACAATTTGAGACTGCTGAGACCAAAGGTAAATGTCACACCAGCAGAGAGACTGCAGTACCACAGAAAGGGATCAAGTGTAGCAAGTGATAAATGCAAATAAACTTTTTAAACTAGAAAATAAAACATTTCAGATAAGACACATTCTAAGAATATGTTTGAAAGGCTCCCAGAATGACTAGCCGTGACAACTGGTTTCAGACTGTGCCAGGATAAAGCTACATTGTAAAGATTGTGACAGGTGGCTTTTTTTTTTCTTAAATGTCCAAGTCTCAATCAAAGATTACAATGTATACAAAATATTAGGGCAACATGGCCCCTTCAAAAAAATCATGAAATTTTCAGAAAGCAATCATTATAAAAGTATTTTAAAAACAGGAATTGTGGAGGCAAAAAACACAAAAAGAGATAATAACCAATTCTAAAGAAAAAATAGTATAAAAATAAAGAAGTTCCACAAACTAAAACACACATCTATAAGAACAATTTAAAATGTCACAGATAAGAAAGAATCTAAAGAGCTGCAAGATGAAAGTGATGTGTCATTTGTAAGCATAGTTACACAATAAAGTTTTTCAGAAGAAAATTTTACACACCAGAAGAAAACTGTGTGATATTGTCAAAGCCCTGAAGAAAAGTAGCTGTCAAGTGAGAATAATCACCAGCAAAAATGTCCTACCAAACAATAATAAAGACCTTCCAAAATAACCAAATCCTGAGACAGTATATTGGCACTATAGATGGCCTATTTATCAAAGATGCTGAAAAAAGTTTCTTCCACTGAAAATAACATGATGCAAGAACACACAATCATATAAAAATACGTAAGTTCCTGGGAAACATACATACACAAAAATAGAATTCCTTAGCATTCTCATAAGGAGACAGAAAACATTTATTATTCTCTAAAATTAGAAAAATAAAAGCACAGAAAGTATTGTAAATATCTGTTAATAAATACACAACTTAAAAAGATATAATCAGCAATATCAATAACAAAGTTGAGGGCAGATGTAATGATGAAAAATTTTTGTATATAACTGAAGTTCATTTTTCACCAGATTAAATATATCCTGTTTTATCTTTTAGAGGTTTTATGTAATCCCCAAAGTATCACAAAGAAAATATCTGTGTAGACACCCAAAAGAAAATAAGAAAGAAGTGAAATTTTATCAATATTAAAATGAAATAGACACAAAGGAAGACAGAAAATGAGGGATAAAAATATAAGAATCAAATAAAATAAAATAACAGGAGTCTTTGTCTTTCAGAAAATTACTTACATATATGTATAATTAACTTTCTAATCATGAGACATAGTTTCAATAGCCTTTCTACAAGAGTCAGTTTAGAACTAATAATAATAAAGCCTGAAAGTGGCAAGATTGAAGTAGGCATTTTATCCAGATATTAACCAAATGAGAGCAGAAAAGTTCAAATTAGTATTACATGAGCTACATCTTGAGTCAAAAACTCATATTATATAAAATATATATGAAGTCAAAACTCCAAAAAGACAAAGAAGGGCATTTTAAGCAATAATAGATTTATTCACTGGGAACCTATGAAAAATTTGTACATATGTGCACGTGTGTATCTCACATTAGGGTTCCAAATATGTAAGGTAAATATTGACATAATTGAAAAAACACATAAAAAGCAATGTAATTATAGCAGGATATTTTGATACCTCACATTCTCTGATAATAATAATAAAAGAGAGTATTAGTAAAGAAACAGCAGGCCGGGCGCGGTGGCTCAAGCCTGTAATCCCAGCACTTTGGGAGGCCGAGACAGGCGGATCACGAGGTCAGGAGATCGAGACCATCCTGGCTAACACCGTGAAACCCCGTCTCTACTAAAAATACAAAAAATTAGCTGGGTGGTGCATGCCTGTAGTCCCAGCTACTCAGGAGGCTGAGGCAGGAGAATGGCATGAACCCGGGAGGCGGAGCTTGCAGTGAGCTGAGATCTGGCCACCGCACTCCAGCCTGGGTGACAGAGCAAGACTCCGTCTCAAAAAAAAAAAAAAAAAAAAAAAAAACAACCAAACGAAGAGTGCTATCGCAAGAGACAACAAAGGACCCAACAATCTTCCAAAAAAAAAAAAATGTTGGAGGCATTATAATTTCTAATTTCAAAACAGATTACAAAGCTACAGAATTAAAGCAATTTGGTATGAGTATCAAGCTGAAAACAAGACAAATCAAATAGAATGCAACACATAAACTTTCATATATATGGTCATATAGTCATTTGCTTACCCATAATTGTAGCATTGTTACTGAAAGCCAATAGGTAAAAACAATGCTAGTTTCTGTCACCAAATTATTCAATACATATAATTTGAAATGTAAAAATATTGGAATACTCAGTTTCCAAAAAGCAGAAAATATTCTAAGAACTACACAGATAAATCTTGATGACATTTTGCAAAGTGACATTAGCCAGCCACAAACAGACAGAGATTGTATGAGATATATAAAGAAGTTACACCACGAGGAACAGAAAACAGAATGGTGTTTGAAAAGTGCCACAATACAGGAAAAATTGGTAGTTTTATGATGTGTAGAGATTTAGTTCTGCAAGACGAAAACACTTCAGCAATATGAATATTTGACAATATTTTATTATAAATTGTTGTGCTTTTGACAAGTAAAAATGAACAATAATAACTAGAAATAATAGCTAGAAATTTAGGGTTTTTTTTTTTTTTTTTTGAGACGGAGTTTTGCTCTTGTCGCCCAGCTGAAGTGCAATGGCACCATGTTGACTCACTGCAACCTCCGCCTTCTGAGTTCAAGCGATTCCCCCTGCCTCAGCTTCACGAGTAACTGGGATTACAGGTGCCCAACACCATGTACGGCTAATGTTTTTGTATTTTTGGTAAAGATGGGGTTTTGCCACCTTGGCCAGGCTAGTCTCAAACTGCTGACCTCAGGTGATCCACCTGCCTCGGCCTCCCCAAGTGCTGGGATTACAGGCGTGAACCACCGTGCCCAGCTGATAGTTTTTAAATTATCTTCATGCTGGGCGCAGTGGTTCACGCCTGTAATTCCAGCACTTTGGGCGGCCGAGGCGGGTGGATCACGAGGTGAGGAGATAGAGACCATCCTGGCTAAAACGGTGAAACCCTGTCTCTACTAAAAATACAAAAAATTAGCCAGGTGTGGTGGCGGGCACCTGTAGTCCCAGCTACTCTGGAGGCTGAGACAGGAGAATAGCGTGAACCCGGGAAGCAGAGCTTACAGTGAAGCCAAGATCGCACCACTGCACTCCAGCCTGGGCAACAGAGCTATACTCTGTCTCAAAACAAAAAGCAAACAAACAAAAAACCCAAATCTGTTGATGATGCAATGAAAATGAAACCCATGTTGATTGCTGGTGAAACTCAGGAATGTAGCCATTATTTAAAAAGGTTATAAATGTACCTCAAATAATTAAAAATAAAATTATAGAATACAGCAATCTCATTTATGAATCTGTATCTATAACATGCAACACAGGACCTGGAAGACAAATTTGAACAATCATGTTTATTGTATTAGTATTCACAGAAGTCAAAAGGCTGAAGAAACCCAAATGTCTTTTAATCTGGAAACACGTTGAAAAATATAATACATAAATACAATGAAATATTATTTGGCGTTATAAAATCTTGTCATATTTGAAGATTAACTGAGAATATTGTGTCCCCTGAAATAAGCCAGTAACAAAATAATGAATACTATATAATTCCATAATACGAGATATTTTAAGTAGTCACACTCATAAAAACAGAAAGTGAAATGGTGTTTGTCAATGGTTGGAGAGGGTAAAATGGGTTGTTTTTACTTAATGGGTATTGAGTTTTAGTTTTACAAGATGGAAAATTTCTATAAGTCTCTTGTATAACAATGTGAATGTACTTAACATGCCTGAAATATATGCCATTTTTTTGGAAACAGGGTTTTGTCACCCAAGCTGGAATGCAGCGGTACAACTATGGCTCACTGCAGCCTCAAACTCCCAGGTTCAAATAATACTCCCCCCTAGCTCCCAAATAGCTAGGGCCACAGGTGCACACTACCATGGCTGGCTATTAAATTTTTTTTTTTTTTTTGCAGAGAGGGGGTCTTTATATGTTGCCCAGGCTGGTCTCAATATTTTGGGCTCAAGTAATCCTTCTGACTTGGCCTCCCAAAATCCTGCTATTATTGATGTGAGCCACCACCTTCCTAGGACTGAAATGTACACATAAATAGACTAAAGATGGTAAATTTTAGGCCAGGCGGGGTGACTCACACCTATAATCCCAGCACATTGGGAGGCCGGGGCAGGCAGATCACTTGAGGCCAGGAGTTCAAGATCAGCCTGGCCAACATGGTGAAACCGCATCTCTTCTAAAAATACAAACATTATCTGGGTGTGGTTGCCTATGGCTATAATCCCAGCTATTCGGGAGGCTGAGGCAGGAGAATTGCTTGACTGCGGGAGGCGAAGATTGCAGGGAGGCAAAGGTTACAATGAGCCGACATTATGCCACTGCAGTCCAGTCTAGGTAGCAGAGCAAGATTCCATCTCAAAAAAAGACGGTAAATTTTATGTTATCTGTTTTTTCAACAATAAATGTTTTAGGAGAAAAACTAAAAAAAATACAGAATTATAAATCCTTTCAAAAATTAACTTCAAAAAAATGACGAAAAAGAAAGAATATTAAAAAAAGAATACCTTCAAATCACAAAAGTTTTTAACACAAAAAAATATATATTCACTAAACACATGGTGAAAATAAGACTATTTCCATGACTACTCACTTAGACAAAACCACTAAAAATCAGCTAAAAAATATATACATAAGCGATAACCAAAATTGGGGTATAGATAAAAACACACACCTATATAATCTGATCATGACAGACATATGAATGGATGAATGGTTTATCTTTTTTTTTTCCTTGAGGAGTCTTGCTCTGTCACCCAAGCCAGAGCGCAATGGCACGATCTTGGCTCACTGAAACCTCTGCCTACTGGGTTCAAGCAATTCTCCTGCCTCACCCTCCCGAGTAGCTGGGATTACAGATACAGGTGCACGCCACCATGCCCGGCTAATTTTTTGTATTTTTAGTAGAGACGGGGTTTCACCAAATTGGTCAGGCTGGTCTCAAACTCCTGACCTCAGGTAATCCACCCGCCTCGGCCTCCCAAAGTGCTAAGATTAAAGCTGTGAGCCACTGCGCTCAGCCTGGATGGTTTATCTCTTATATTGACTTAAAGTGTACAAACAGAATTGCAAATTGTCTAAAATTATAGTACGTAAGTAAAACAAAAAACTCACAATGAACTGATGTTAAGAAACCTACACTGAAAAAAACACAAACATGGAACTGCAAAACAATAATAAAATGTTTACTCATATAATCTGGTATGCAACATTGATGTACCATTAAAAAAAATTGTCTAGATAGCTACAATATTTGACAGTAACTGTGTACTTACTGAAGGCAGGTATTTTGAATCACTGACAGGCACTATGTGGCAGTAAAATTTTAGAGAAAATGCAGTATAATCATAAATAGAAGATTCTAATGACAAACATTTAATAAATAAGCATTTAAAATAAACTAGAGATCATGTTTATGTTTTAATTGTATGTTATTCTTTCACAAAATGAAACTGCTGTAATCCAAGTTTAGAAGCAAGGAATAGCCTTACATTGCTAAATTATATGTACGTAATTTAATATATATTATATATTTTATATACATATAATATATATAGCAGATTATAGTTAGAGTCTCTGTTATATAAAACAAATATTTAGACATAAATTGTTATTATTTAGATATAGGCTAGAGAAAGTGGGTGAAAAGCTTATAATTCCTGTTTGCCTGCA